TCATCAATAGTGCTTACGGCGAGGCCAGTTGGAATAGAGGTGAATAGGGACATTGAAATGTTTTTCATACAAGCATTTATTTAGTCCTCGCATTCGTTGCCATCAGCCTCGGGTCAACCAACCAGAGCAGCTACACTATAGTTTCGATACGCTGTATGATGTAGCCCAATTTTTTTTAATCGGTAGACCCAGTTACTGATCATAGAAACATGGCCTACACCCATTAGCGAGCTTCTGAAACAGGTGGAGAAATCGGACTGCAACATAATTCAGGCGTCCTGTGAAGTTTCGCGTTTGAGTGTCCTAAGTCATGGCATATTGGTCGATAAGCCTTTCTGTACCCAATCTACCACTTTTGCAACAAGTAGGGCGCCCCTAAAGCCTCCTTAGGTCTCAGGATCTGACTGGCTCCCATATTTCTGCGTTTGAGCTCGAATTTATACTTCTATTTTTGCCTCTCATACCCCCTGTTCTGCCCTCACTTTAGCTTTGGGACATCCGAGATGGACAGTGCAAGCAGACCTTCCCAGGACATGAGTCGGATATTAACGCTATCACCTTCTTCCCAAGTGGTTATGCCTTTGGAACTGGCAGTGATGATGCTACCTGTCGTCTTTTTGACATTCGCGCAGATCAGGAGGTTGGCATGTTTAGCCACGACAACATTATCTGCGGCATTACGAGCGTGGCGTTCAGCAAGAGTGGTCGTTTACTGCTCGGTGGTTACGATGATTTCAACTGCAATGTGTGGGACACTTTAAAACAAGATCGTGCTGGTGAGCACTTTTTCTGCCCAACTGTTGTCGTGTACTTTATCAAGAGTCTTGTCTATTCGTCTCATATCAATGTTAGAGCATTGTTTTTACCGAAACGGTAGCTTTTCTCAACTGTTTAAGACCGTAATCACAATACTGACTTGCAAAACCCGCATAACTATTCTCAATATCAGCCTTAACCTTCACTTTTGCTATAGGCCGTCGCGAAATGTGGCTTGGAAGGTTACGAACTCACAGTTTCTCAGGACTGAGGGTCAGCCTGCATTGCCGCCTTAATTTAAATTTTGTGACCTTGTCAACGACTGGCAATTTAAGAACCGCCGTAATGTAGCTTGCAAACGTGAAGTTGTGGACCAGGTCGTGTGTAGCACGCGTAGACGAACTTTAAGGCCTTGACAGGCTCTGTGTCAACGCTCACTCTCACGTCGTCTTGACTTTGTTTTGCCATTGGGCTATCTGAGATGTGACTGGGAAGAAGATGCGTACAAACAGCGCAAGTCTGCTTCAAGTCGCCGCTACCGGGCCCTTATCCTTTTCCGTACAAAATCTCATGATGACAATTGATTTAATTTTGATATTTGAGGTCTATAATTTATACATGAGATGAACATTTTTGGATGAAGGCCGGTAGTAGCCAAACCGTAGGCTACATGTCCACTTCTAATCCTGGTCAGTCAGGCCTTAAGTATGTGTCTCCTAACTTGTAGGCCAACCTCGGCATCAGTGAGTCTGGCAAGCTTTGGCAACAATTGTCCACCAACGAGGATCAAATACTGACGTCATAAAGCTCCTTTCACCGCCCATATTTAGGCTAATCCCTATGCTCGGCCCCCAATATGCTTCCCTTAATAAGTGGTTTGGCGTATTACTTCAGTGCTTTATCAGCAAGTACCTACTGTTTCGTCCGAGGACTTTGGTGTATTTCCTCCAAGGCGTCGTTTTTTGTCGCTTGCGATTGAAATTCTCAACAAAGCAGATAATTGCCGGTTGCTGGCAGTCTGGTAGAACTCGAGAATGCACCAATGTGGGCATATTTGGTCATTGCACCCGCACCTTGTGTGGAGCCCGGCCTGACTGAATCGCCCTTGAATCACGTGCACTTTGTAACCATCTATTAATGATAATAACAAGGATTTTTTCATTCATGTCGATAAACCGTAAACCGTGATAGTCTTCTTGCTTCACTTTATCTTCTCATTTAAGGAGATACACAAAGATGGCCGACCCCTGGCCGTCAGGATATACCTTATGTTTATTCAGTTGATCCATTGCCCAGAGTACCTGCGCAGGACCTGCATTTCAGCCACGATGTCCTATTTGACGGCTGTCGTGGTACTAAATCTGTGATTTCCGGTCATGTCAGGAGTCACATGGCTTTGTGTAGATTAAAGGAAAACGAAATTCCGCATACGCGAAAAGC